GATTTTGAAGCTTCGTCAGACATACTTTCAGCATGTTGCAAGGACCGAACAATCCTCAGAGAGAGACATCATGCTTGGGAGGGTGAAGGGATAGCTCAGGAGGGGAAGTCTCTTAATGAGGTGAATTGACTTAGTGGTTGAGGTAATGGAAGCAGGTGTGTCAAAGACATTGAGGTTGGCTCAGGATAGAGCAGTTCAGAGCTTTTGTATATAGGGTCTCTATGAGTTGCAGGTGACTTGACAGCACATAATAACAACAAACAAACACTTTCAAAGGTGGCATCTGAAGATGCTGAGATTTCTGCAACTAAGAGACAAGAGACCTGGGGCTGTATGTCCTGGGTCTGGCTACTAAGACTAATAACTTTTTAAAGTTCTTAACTTAATCATATGGAGGTCAAATTCACTTTACTTATTAGTAAATTGTAACTAACCAAACCAGTTGCCATAGAGTCTTCTCTGACCCGTGGAAATGCCCACCTCTGTCACAGGAACTGGCCTGCTTTATAACAAGTTGATTACCAGACCTTCCTTTGGATGGACTCCAACATCTAAGCAGTGAGCAAGCTCCTGTTTGCCACCCTGTAGGCCTAAAATCCTCATCCTTACATTATTCATATTCAAGACTGCATCACTTTGTCTAGTTAGAATGTGGTGTTGTTTTTATTGTTAAGTTCCATCAAGTAGAGCATAACTCATAGTGACTCTATGAGCAAAAGATCTGAAACCTGTTTTATAACTATCATTGTTTCTCTAATGTTCATAGTTCCCAAAGGCATGTTGTTTAAGAAGTGGACGCCACTCCTGCTTCCAAGCCTATCTTAGTCTAGGAGCTCTACCAAACACTGTCCACGATGGGTAACCATTGTAGCATTTGACACACCAGTGGAACAGTGTTCAATATCACAACAACTCCAACTCACTTCACAGCAAACGACAACTAAGTCTCCAGTTTGGAGGCCCATGTGTGAAGCAGTTGGATTCTGTTGGGTAGTTAGAATGTAGACATATTTTTTTAAAAAGCCACCAATAATTATGTAAATATTCTTTTCAAAATGTTTATCCTAAAAGTTTACCATTTCATACCACCTGAATTTCAGAATCATCTCAGGAACAGGTTTGAGGCCTTGAACACTAATGAGCGAAGACCAGATGAGTTGTGGACGGATGTCAAAGATATCATCCAGGAAGAGTGTAAACGGTCATTACAAAGAAGAGGAAGAAAAGACCAAAATGGATGTCAGAAGAAACTCTGAAGATTGCACTGGAGCGT